GGCTGCAGGGCCAGTGCCCCGACTCTGCGCTCCACGGCCGGGCTGCGGCGACAGAGAGAGCGGGCGGAGCGCAAGGCTGAGGACGCGGCAGCAGCGGCGGCTGCGCTCCTGACCAGGGGAAGGTGGCAGAACTGAGACCGCACCCCCTCCTCCAGTCCCCGCCCAGTCCCCGCCCCTGCCCTGACTGGGCCCACCCCCTAGGCAGCGCAAGGCTTGAACTTGGGCGTTGGGGCTGATCACGAGGGCAACTGTTAGGGCCTGAGTTGGATTGGGTAGAGAGTTTAGAGCAGACGCAGAAATTAAGGGCGACGGAAAGGGAGTGATCAACCAATTGAGAGGGATTCCTGGCTCGGGGACTTACAGGGACTTTTTAGTATTTCAAAGAACCAGAACAGATCTGTGGTCTGCACACCTTGAGTCATTTACCTGTATTCAGGTGAGGCCTACAGATTGCTGATTGGGTGTCTGTCACTCTCAACCCAACAGCATGCTCTATTGTCATACTCACAGGACTACTCGTAACAAGGCCTGGTAAGGCCTTGGGTGGACCGGCATTGGCCCTGGGGGCAGCACCCATATGCCCTTTCTGGTAGGGCACAATAGATGGTGTAGGCCTGGCCTGTGACAGGCAGGTACTGGCAAGCAGGTAGGAGCCAGGCGGGGAGCAGCAGGTTGTGGCAGGTCTAGCTGGGGTGAGGAGAAGAGACAGTAGGCAGGGGGAGGAGACCAGGAGCACAAGGGCACCTAAGCCTAGCTGGCAGCAGGAAGCAGGGCCGTGGGGATGGATTATAAATTCCCGAACTGCCAGCTGAAATCAAGCAGAGAGCCCCCCCAGAGTTGACACAACTATGGAGTAGGGAAAGTGGTGTCAGGTTTGCATTCCAAATAATCCTTATTCCTGATGCCTATACCAGGAGCACTCTGTCCCTAAGGGTACACTACTTGGTGGCGGGGGGGGGGGGGGGTAGAGACAAGCTCAGTGTAAGCACAGTAAGGCTAAGGTAACAAGGTTGGGGAGTGGCACCAGGTTCCAGATGGGTTGAGGCTCCTTGGCCAATGCCCCACCCCTGTTTATTGTGCATCGACCAGGCAGGGACAGGAATGCCAAAGGCTGGGAGTGGTGGTAGGACTTAAACAGGGTGTGCACGACACATGTGTCAGTGTGTGCATATCTGGTCCTGTCTGTGCTGGAGCATGTGTTCACAGAACTAAAGCCTGCACACCCATCTGTGTGTGCATTTGGAAAGGGAACAGTAAACAAGGGAGAGCACAATTTTGACTTAAGAAGCTAGAATAGACACCCAAGAATCAGCTTCCTGGGCTCCCTTTATTAGATACCCCAATATTCCTGGGGTTAAGGGGGGGAAACTGACTGGAGTGCCTTGGAGCTCCCCAGACATTTTATGAACCAAATAAGAAGAGGGGAGGGCTCCACTCCCAGCACATGCCACAGTTACCAGATTAAGCTGGTTGCCTTGGTAACCTTCTCTCTGGGCAGGATTTGGGATTGTCAGGAAGGGGGAAGAATTGGGGGGTGTGGACGGTGTGGGAGCTGGAAATAAAAGGGTCAGAGAGACTTCTGGAAACTGGAAGCTTTGGGAGCAGGACTCCAGGACCTCCCCAACTACTCAAGGATATCAGACAGAGACTAAAATCCAAGGTCTTAAATCAGGGAGGAAAGCCAGCATCAAGTCATGGTGCTTCTTGAGCAGCAGTCGTACTTGCCCCAACTGCAGTGAAACTCAAGGGAACTTTTAAAAAATACTGAGGCCCAGGCCACACCCCAAACCAATTAAATCATCTCTCTGAGATGGGGCCAAGGTTTATGGTTATTTTTTGGAAGATCCCCAAGTGATTCAAATAGCCCATGTTGAAAATAATTGCCCTAGAGGGACACCCTCACCCAAGTGGGCTGCAAATGCTGGGAGACAACTTTGAGATTTTGTCTTTGCTGTTCTAAATCACTCAAAAAGTAGCTGACCTGTATGCTGACTCCAAGGGGGAGGAGGGCTGGCAGGGCACCTACACTCTACCATGGAAGAAATTGAAATTGAGGGCAAGATGGAGGCAAAAAAACTTGTGAGAGCTCAGCCCATGGATTTCTAGAAGGGGATGCAGCAAGGCTACCTAACACTGATATGTCTGCCCCTTACACTTTCTGCCCACTGAGGCAGGCGAGGAGGGCAGAGAACTGAGGCCTTTGCCGAGCTTGAGTTTCTTCTTGCTGAGCCGGTTACCAGGGCAACAGAGAGCAATGGGATCTAACTGGGGAAGCAAGAGGCAGAGATCGCGTGTGTGTGTGTGTGTGTGGGGGGGAGTATCTTAACATGCTCATTCCTCCTGCCAGTAACCCAACGCCAAGGGCGGGGGGCATTCTTTGCATAACCCCAGATCAGGCCCATGGATACCCATCACCCTGTAGGGGAGAAAGGAAGCAAAATGACATAATTTAAGGAGGAATTAGGGATGGGGGTCACGAGAGTCATGGTCCTCCAGCTGTAGCAGCAGCACCAAGGGGTGTAGGGAAAGTGTCAACTGTCATTTTTAAGATATGCCATGATGCTCATGCCCCCCAGTGTACAAGGATTTGTGAGACTGAAGAATAGATGCTGTCGGCTCCACATTACATTCAATTGCTCCCCCACACTATGGATTGTCTCTGTGGTGAACTTCCACAGCACCCAGGATCTGTAGGAAATAGTCAATTCAAAGTTAAAAACTGCCCTGTGCTCATCAGAGGGCAAGTGGCGGAGGTAACTGGCAGCATGAGCCACAGCTGGCAGTCTTTCAATTGCCCCTCCTCTCCCCCTGTACTAAGGCTGACAGAGCCTCCCTCTTAGACTGTGGGCCTTGATACTTCAATGCCAGAGTGAGTCTTCACTTCTCAAGCAGCAGCTCACCCTCAGCTGGGACCTGGTACACAGTACTGCCATTTGGCACATTACCCTGGGAAACTTACAGGCCTTCCACAAAGGCAGGCAACAGGGATACTATGGGCACGTGGGTAAGCAGTATCTCACTAGTTGTTGTCCCGACACTTCCCAACGAAGCTACTGAATGATATCCTGGCGTCTATGTTGCAATGTGGTTGGGAAAGACAGCCGATGGGAGTACAGACACACTTGTGGCCTCACAGGGGCTCCTCATCCCTCTGGGCTTCCATTTCACAAGTCTGAGCTGGCTCAAGTTGTGACTGTCACTCTGAGGAATCAAGGCGTCTTCTTCCCGCCCTCTAAAATCAAAATGCATGAAAAACACTGGCAAAAAAAGCCAAGTTTACAGTCTAAATTTTATTATCTTCAAGTCACAATGCTGATCACAAATGTGCACCCTTTAAAACAGTAACGAAAACAACAACACACATGGAGAAATTCTTGCAACAAAACACAGCGGACCAACAGAGACAACTGTCACAGTGTCTTAAGGTCTGGGAATCTGGGCATACTGCCCACAGGCTGGAGGAGGGATATGTTCAGGTTTAAGGCAAAGGGAACAGCCTACAAAAGGCACAACCACCAGCTACCCCTGGAAGAATCTCTTAGCTATTTCCTCGAGGGTTACAGCTTAAGTGCCCCTCCCACCTCCCCACCACACACCTGTGACTCCAAGTGGTCAGGCCAGCTGCTAAAGGGAAGGAATCAAAATAGTGACATTGCTTGGGAAGAGACACAGTTGCCACCTTCTCCCTCAGGTTCTGTAGAAGGACAGGGACAGTGGCCAGTTACCCCTGGCAGACAAGAGTACTGCAATAACAGGACTCTGTTCCACAGAGGCAACAGGGGAGTGGTTCAGCGCCATGGGTAGGGAGGAGAGGAGAGAGGACCCCTTGCCCCCAAAGTGACTGGCCTCCTGAGGCCTTAAGCCCAGGTGTGGTACTTCTGTTTGCAAGGACAGTAGAACTTGAGGAAAATAAGGTAGTAACATCTAAACACTTATAGCAGGAGAGACATGGAGAAGACCTATTACAAAGGACAGGGTAGACTGCTTGCTGGATATTTGCCTCCAGAGATGCATTGGTCCACGGCAAATGGAAAGGGGGTGTAATAGGAGAGATGGAAAAAAGAAAAGCAGGACCCTTTAATTCCACTTACCTCAAAGACTGAGCCCTGAGGACTGTGTGAATACATATCCCTAAGGTGCAAAGGCTCTCACTCCACCCTCTCTTTCTCACAAAAACGTCTGGTTTGCCATCCCTCCCTACTGTAGAAACTCTACCTTCAGTAGTAGAAACTCTACCTACCAGCACACAGGGACTGATGGAGGCTCAGACTCCTAAAGACCAAAATCAAGAAGAATGGCTCCTGCCATACACTTTGAGCTTTCCTCCACAATGGGACACTCTGTGCAGACAGCTATTTCCATAGAGTTAGAGGAGTTAAGAGAATCCAAGTATATAATAACAAAGGCCAACCAAAAATAAAAGGCCAGCTCTTTGCAGACTTGGTGGGAAAAGAGTGGCTGGTAAGTTCTCAATTATCTGTGCAGCAAAGAACCAAAAGCGAACCAGAGGAGCTAGCAAACCAGAAAAATGAACTTGTTCATTTAAAAGGGGGGGGGG